TTATTCCATCCTGTCCTACTTGTCGCTGTGACTGCCTGCGCGGGCTCTAATGTGAGCTCCAGGGCGAAAGCGGAACTTAATGGTTCTCTTAGCAGATCGGGGATGCCCATATATTCATAGTTAAAAGGTTTGATCGTTTGTGAACGTGCTTAACTAAAATGCGGTAGCAAAAGTAGTACACAACATACAGACTTTCGTCGAGAGATGAGCGGATTTTGTTTGGCTTTTGTTTAGCATTATACGGCACCACCGCTGATGCCGAAGCCGTACGTGGTCCCACTTGGCTGTTCATTCACTGATATCTTACTTGAATAATACTAGTTTCAAATCACACCAGATGTCCCTTTATTTGTTTGTTCGGTAAAGGTAATCTATCAAGCGCGGGTGCAATACAAAGTTGTTTTGTTTTCCACAAAATATTTTTCAGCATTTTCGGCTCCCAAATTCCTACTTAAATTATAACTTAGAAAATAAATTAAGAGAACAAATCAAATCGCCTTTCAGTCGGCATCAGGGGATGCTTCGTCAGCGCGAAAAACGTAAGCCATTGACATAAGCAAACGTTAAAAGAGTTGTTGAAAAACTTATGGATCCACATAAATGGTAGTTGTTTTTGACGTAAGATCCGTGTCTCAACAACCGCCTTTAGACATTCGTAGTTTTAACCGGGACGTGAGGAGACGTACGCGTTTTTTGTTTAGTTAGAGACTGTATTATACGAAAAGTCATTTACCTAAGTACTGATTATTTACAAAATGTTAGGTAAGGCGAGATTTGTTATCGATAGAGAGAAGGAGTGACATCCGCGTCAGTCTACCAACGGTAAACGTGGAAGGCGGGAGGCTGACTCGGGAAAATACTGTTTTTGAGCTTACCTTACCACAAATTTAGCCAGCACTAGGAGGGCGTGGCAGATTGTGAATAATTTAATTGACGCAGTTCTGAAAAATTCGCAGCCTCGGTGGGATTCGAACCCACTTCATAAAGGGACGATCCGTGAATTTAATCACACTTGGGTCGATTTACCCACTTAGCCCACTGTAAGTATGGAATCCACTAATACTGCTACAGTAAGCTGACTTCCCAGGCAGGTTTTCCTAAGCAAACAATCTAGAATTCACCAAAATGACTACCAAGCACACTTACTTATGGGAAGGGGCTGGCAGTTAGCTTGCTGTATGAGTATTGGTGGATTCCATACCTACGGTGGGCTAAGTGGGTAAATAATCCCAAGCTTGATTAAATTCACGGCTCCCGGTGAGCCTCGTAGCTCATTTGACAGAGCGCTAGCTGTACTAAAGGCTCCCCCTCGCTGGCGTGGGTTCGAATCCCACCGAGGTGGCCGACTTTTTTTTTACATATGGATCAATTGAATTATCCAGCATTGCCAGCGACAATTGCGACGATTCCATAGCTTGTGAGAAAGGCGTTTGTCGATCTAGGATGGGACTAGTAATGCTTTTCTGTTTCATTTTCCCCCGCCATGCTCTCTTCCACAAGGGAGTTCGCGACAAAACAGAACATACGAGTCCTTGAGAGGTATTTACTAGAGTAGGCGGCATGCTAAAATTAGTAAGATTTGGGCCATATCGATATCACATGCACACCCACGTCCGCCAAGTTTCACTGGCAGTATTTAGTCTTCCTATTGGAAAGCAAGATTGCCGGCAAAAACCGAGGACTTATATTG